AAAAAAAAAAAAAAAAAAAAAAAAAAAAAAAAAAAAAAAAGCCATATTTTCGGGTAATATCTACAAGCCATATTTTTAGCCTGCTTTTTGCAACTTGATGAAATATTAAATACTAATTTCCCCAGTTTCTAAAATCTTTTTAATTCCAGGGCCAAAGTGGAAACAGTTATATCTTGCAACTTGTTCATGGGGGTCTATGGGAATGCCAACAGTTTTTTGTTTTTTTTTTTAAAAGATGACCGGTAAGGGGATCTTAACTCTTAACTTGGTGTTGTCAGCACCACACTCTCAGAAGTGAGCGAACCAGCCATCCCTATATGGGATGTGAACTCATGCCTTGGTGTTATCAGCACCACACTCTCCCGAGTGAGCCACGGGCCGGCCTGTTGCAAAACATTTTGAGAGGCAAAGAACATTCTTCGGTGTTAGCAATGAATAGAATAAGGAGAGAGAAAAAAATAAATAAATAAAAAAACATGGACAGGAAGGTGGTTGAAAGACTCTAGGCAAAATGGTCTAGGTTTTTTTTTTCTTCAATAATTTCAAACTACCACCATTCACTGTAATAAGATACCATTCCAATGTCAGAGTTGCACAGTCTTTTATTTTGCTAAGTTCCTTGGCTGAATATCTTCAATAAAAGGTATTACAATAAAAGTTAATGATCCATTTGTCCCAACTCCAACTCCTTCTTGGGAACAACTTCTCATTCTATCCCTCAGTCTCTTCCCTCACCACCCACCTAGAATATTACCCATCTTAGCACTCACAGGATAAAAAGAAAACAAAACACTGAAACATAGGACTTGCTTTAAATCATTAGATTTCATTAAACAGCCCATTTGCTCACTGGAACTTATTTCTGCTTCAGTCCCAGTTCTTTGAGAAATACAGAAATTCTTTTCACCAAAATATTAGCTGATGCAAGAATGTTGAAAAGTTAGCTGCCTTGGTGTTATTGCAAGCTCCAATATCCTAAGAGATCTAAAAAACTAGAAGATTAAATGTAGCAAAATATGAACAGGAAACATAGCTTATAAGTCCTTTAATAAGTATAATTGCATAGAATTCACTCACATTTCAAACCGGGTAAAAAATTTGTGAAACGAAATATATCATATGGCACTTAATAAAGTTATGGTGGATTAACTCCAATGCAAAACTTTTTTCTATATTAAGGAGGAGAGAGGGCTGCACAATTATCCTGTGAGGTAGGTCCTATTTTCCCCATGAAACAAAAGAGGAATATGAGGCTCAAAAAGATTAAGTAACCTACTGAAGGTCACATAGCCATGACTGTCAGTGTCTTGCTTGGGCACTGCAAACTTGACCATTTTTAAAAGAAGATAATTTTAAATTGAGTGCTAGTCATTACTTATAAAAATTAATACATTAATGTGCTTAATGACAAAATAGTTCACTGATGCCAGTCTTATAGAAAGTTTAAGGGAAACCAAGATTAAGGACTCCAGATTCATATAGGTCCCTTTAAAATACAAAATATTCCTAATTTTCCTGGTCTACTACTGAGAGGAAGGGGTGAGGAAAAATATTGCTATGGCTTAAAAAACAAACACAGAAATTCCATTCCTAGGTATATACCCAAAGGAATTGAAAACAGGTATTCAAACAAACACTTGTACACTAATGTACATAGCAGCACTATCCACAATAGGCAAAAGGTGAAAACAACCTAAATGGCCATCAACAGATAAATGAATAAACAAAATGTGGTATCCATACAATGGAATATGATTCAGTCATATAAAGGAAAGAAGTACTGATATATGCTATAATGTGGATTAACTTTGAAAATATTATGCTAAGTAAAGGAAGCCAGACAACCAAAACGGTCACATATTATATAATTCATTCATATGAAATATCCAGAATAGGTAAATCCATACAGAGAGCAGATTAGTGGTTGCTAGAGGGCAGGGAGGAGAAGGGAATGGGAAATAACTGCTTAATAGGTACAGGGTCTCCTTTGGGGCTGATGAAAATGTTTTGGAACTAGATAGTGGTGATGGTTGCACAACATTGTGAATGTACTCACTCACTGAACTGTACTCTTTTTTTTTTTGGTGGCTGGCCAGTACAGGGATCAGAACCTGTGACCTTGGTGTTTCAAGGCTGTGGTCTAACCAACTGAACTAACTGTCCAGCCCTGAATTATACTCTTTAAAATGGTGAATTTCACCTCCATTTCAAAAAACACAGAAAAATGAAATAATAAAGCCCTAGATGTACAGCAGATAATTTTCTTTTTCTTGGTTTGTCACAATTTCAGTGAGTTTTTGAGGGTCATAAACCAATTTATAAAAAATAACCCATTAAAAGTTCCAAATAAGGCATGAATGTAGCTGAGGTCCCCTAATTTGTCCAGCTGGCAAAGCACCTAGTAGAGTTTACAGTATACAAGAAGCTTTAAAATGGTTTTTAATTTGTACAAAGTACAAAGAAAATATTGAAAAACACATTTAAGAATATAAAATGGCCAGAGCCAAGGAAATAAGCTAATGTACAAGCATACAGACATATTTGAATATCTGAGCATGCAGAGAGATGTAAACAGTCAGGAGAGAAACCTGCTTTTCCTCATTAACTTATTTGGTGTTTCCCCCCAAAACGAAGAGTAGATAGTAGTTTACAGTTACCACCCTCTGAGTTTGGCAAGAGGTCACACATGGGGAGGGCCTCTAGCTGCCGTTTCCTATTGCTTCCCTGGTGAAACAACGCAGGAGGTTAAGTTACTTCAGGAGACTCCCAACAGGGCTCCCATTGTTCCAAGCTCAAAATTCAAAGATACAATAGGCCCCATTCATACAGAGAGCACACAGCCTGGGGAATGGTCCCTTAGTATAGAGTCAACTTTTTGTTGGGACATCAAATTTTAGTAAACACTAACTTGTACAAATACGTGCTAATTGTTTTTTAAAAACAATACAGAATAAAGAAATAAAACTCAATAGATACTAAACTTAGAGTCAGGACACCAGAGTCTTATCCCCGGCTCTGTGTCTAATGTGACTTTTAGCAAGTCCCTTGATCTTTCTGAGCCTAATTTTCCTGTCTGTAAAAATAAAAATGGTTCCTAAGATCACTTAGAACTCTAAAATTCTATTAACACATGAGGACTATTGATGTTGCTTCACTGTTGATTCAAATGAGTGGGGATCAGTTATGAGCAGAAAAGAATCATTAGTTCGCACCTTTTCATTCACTATTAGCACTTAAAAACAAGAACCCTTTATAAAACAGACAAAGTCGATTTTCTGTTCTCTCTTTAAACAGACAAATCACAATGAATAGTCCAGTTAGTCCCTCCGTCCCAACAAGTCCAGGATCACTAAAGCAGGTAGCCCTACATAAAGCACAATGATGAACAGCAGAAACAGAGGCCACATGTATGTTTTCAGGTTACCTTTTCTCAGGTTATTAATACATTTTGAGAATCTCTTGGTTTCTTTGCAGTGACTCAAAATCCCCAGAAGAAAAACACATTTACAATAAGAATGTGATCAATGTCACAACTTCTACACCATGTCATTTTTTTGTTTTTTCAACCTCAAAACTTGCCAGAGCAAGGACTTTGTCGCCAGAGCCTAAGGAGAAAGACATATAATAAACAAAAAGGTTATTTCAAACGCATTTACAATTCCAGGTAAAGAAGCAAAATATCTATTACATAGATATTGAAATAGAAAATAGAATTAGCTCCCATTATCGGTGCATTAAATCCTAAACCTTCTCACTGCCATCCCAATTTCCTCTAAACCTTCTCACTGCCATCCCAATTTCCTTCCCATTGCCCAAACAATCCAGGTACAAGAGTGACCTATTGGTTACAAATCCTTACTGTAGCTCTAAGTATGCAATAGAAGATGTAAAACCTTAGTTTATTTCACTGTTATGTTACATCTACCTGACTACTATTTTTTTTCCCATTGCCCAAACAATCCAGGTACAAGAGTGACCTATTGGTTACAAATCCTTACTGTAGTTCTAAGTATGCAATAGAAGATGTAAAACCTTAGTTTATTTCACTGTTATGTTACATCTACCTGACTACTATTTTTTAAAATTTAGGCTGGATTAGTTTAATTATTTTTAATTACAAAGTAAACCCTTGATTTCACTCCTAAACTCAAGGAAAGGTCATAATGTTATCTCGACGACACTCTCTGTCAATCTGGAGCACTAATACATGTCCAGCTGTCAGAAACATGAGGGCACTCACCAAGATCTGAAGAGACTTTCTCAAACTGGCTGAGGATAGCACCTGCATTTGCTGACAAGAAGGCCTCATCATCTGCAGTCAGCTAAACAAAAGGAAACAAAGCCCAGGCAAGTTAGTTCAAATGTTACAAACAGTTCTAGAAACTACAGTTAAGAATATCTTAGGGTCACAAACTAGATCATGTATCAAGAAGTTCTCTACCAAATACTTCACCTTTTTTGTTTATACTTAATATATTAAATTAAATACTGATACCTTCTCTCCAAGTTTCCTGAGAGCTGTCAGTATCTCCACTTTCTGTTGAGTATACAGGTCTCTTTCCAGCTTTCCTACCATCAGATCTCTATCCATCTATAATGGATAAATGCAAGGCATTGGTA